GCTTTACACCTAACTTTGATCTGTCTCTGATGGCTGAGAAGGAAGGGCTGCAGAAGAATTTGAATGAGGATTTCAGGGCAACGTGGACTGACAAGCGGCCTCCGCCGATTCCCAACCCCAGGCAACCGCTCCAAGTGCTTGGTTTCCCACCGTTCGGAACACACGCGCCGTCAGGAGCGCGTATGGGGGAGGAGACACCTATCACCCCACCTGGAGTCAAGATCCCAGTGCTCACTCAAGGGGAGGCCAGTCACGTGAAAGACACGAGCGGAGAAGTTGATGGTCACGCATCAATCGAAACATCTCTGAGATTGGGGAGACAGCCTGGGCGACTTGAACAGGAAACAAGGCCGCCACCCCAAGTTGAGGAGCAAACACTAACCATGACAAGAAGCGAGATGCAGAGAATGATTGCAGAGGCAGTAGCGGCCCAACTCAAACAGACGCAAGTCGACCAGCCCAGAATCGACCAACCCAGGGTCGAGCAGCCAAGGGTCAAGCAGCCTCGAATCGAACAGCTTCCCCCGGAGCATGAACAGCAAGCTCAATCCCACGAAAGACAGAGCAGGAGGGCGGACGAAGAGGAGTCTTCTGTCAGAACTGTCAATCCACAAGCAAGGAACGACAGGCTAGAGCAATTGCTAGCTCAGGTGCGAGATCTGCAGGCCCGAGTCGAGAGGAGAAAAACGGGAAGCTCGAGAGGACATCCCTTCTCACAACACATTCTAGACGCCGACTTACCTCAGGGGTTTAGGGAGCTTAACATCTGGTACGATGGGTCGACTGATCCCTCTCGACATCTAAGGAGTTTTAAAAACATGGTAGTGCTACACCGCTACAATGACCCCGTTCAATGTCGAGCGTTCTTGACCACTCTACGAGGACCTGCGCAAGATTCGTTCCATCAGTTACCTCCGGGAGCCGTCAGGGACTTTGACGGATTCAGCTCGAGTTTTTTGAATCAATTTGCAAGCGTAAAGACCCAGGAAAAATCTTATCTTACTCTGATAGGTATGCAGCAGAAGGAGGGAGAATCGTTGCGAGATTATGTGGCGAGGTACACGCGAGCGTGTGTCGATGTGCCTTCGGCCACTGAGGAAATTAAATCGGGTGGACTCACTAGGGGATTGCTCCCAGGACTGTGTAGAAACTCTTTGGCGAAGCGACCTGGGAGGACCTTCGACGAGGTCCTGGGGAGGTGTGCCAAATATATGAATGTTAAGGAAGCAGAAACCGATTTCTTGCAGGCGGCAAAGGCGAAAACCCTCCACAACCCCGTGGAAGATAAGAAGGATAAGAAGCTGAGTTCGACGTTAGAAAGAAAGAATCCCCGAGAATAGAGATAGAGGGACAGTCGAGGGGGTGGAGGCCGACTCAGTACACCCCCTTGTCGGCCCCGAATGCGAGAATACTGGAGATGATGGAGAAGGAGATCCGTGATAATGTCGTCAGGTGGCCGCGGACGAGAAAGGATGGACCAACAAAACCCAAAAGCAATTTGTATTGTCGGTTCCACAAGGATTATGGGCACAACATCGACGAGTGCAGGCACCTCAAGGACGAGATTGAAAGGCTAATCAAAGCCGGCCATCTGAAGGAGTTCATTTATAAGGATCGAGAAAGAACCAGTCAACACCGGGAAAGAAGCAAGAGCCCTCGCAAGAGAGCGAGGACTCCCGACAAGGAGGAGCTCCCTTAGAAGAGAAAGGTAATTCATATGATATTCGGAGGGCCGACGGACGGAGATTCAAATCGGGCCAGAAAAGCATATGCTCGAGGGCGCTATGGAAAAGCCGAGGTGCAGCAAGTTGAGGAAAACGGCCCGGTGATGAATTTCGGGCCAGCGGATATAGGCGAAATCGAGAGGCCACATAATGATGCTCTAATGATAATGGCCCAAGTGTCTAGTTACGAGGTGCAAAGGGTGTTCGTCGACACCAGGAGTTCGGTGAACGTGATCTTCTATAACTGCCTCAAGAGGATGGAGCTGGATCTTGAGTTAACATCGTTGCATACATCACTTTTTGGATTCAATGGGTCAGAAGTTGCACCCCTGGGAGAAACCACGCTCGCAGTCATCCTGGGAGAAGGAGACCTGCGGAAAGTCAAGATGGTGAGACGTAGTGGTCGATGTCGAGTCTGCCTACAATGTAATCCTTGGGAGGCCGGAGTTGAACGCATTCCAGGCGGTGGTATCAACTTACCACATGAAACTGAAATTTCCGGTAGGAGGTCGAGTCAGAGAGGCTCGAGGGGACCAACGATTGTCGAGAACCTGCTATCAGATAGCAGTAAAAACTAACCAACGAACGGAAGTCAAGGAGGGTAAAAAACCGATGTCGAGTGAAAAAAGACCTAGGGGGAATGACCTCGAACCACATGGAGAGTTGATAGAAATCCAAATTGGGGAGAGGGAGGATCAAATCACCAAAGTAGGAACAGAATTGGAGGATGAGTTACGTAAACAGCTGGTGGAATTGCTAAAAGAATTCAGAGACATCTTTGCCTTCTCCCTTGAGGAGCTGACGGGAATCGACCCAGACATCATGGAGCACAAACTCAATGTCGATCCCCTCAAGAAACCCGTAAAGCAGCGACTCAGGCATCATGGGGCCGAGATTGACAAAGCAATTGAAGTCGAAGTAGACAAGTTGTTAAAAGCCAAACATATCAAAGAAATCCAATTCCCTGAATGGATATCAAACACGGTGATGGTGAGAAAAGCGCTGAACAAGTGGCGTATGTGCATTGAATTCGGTGACCTAAATCTTGCTTGCCCAAAGGATCATTATCCGCTACCAAGAATTGATCAGCTAGTCGA